TGTAAAATAATAAAGCAATTAAAATAAATCTTTTCATTTTATTCAATATTTTAAAACAATAATACAAGCATCTAACTGATGAACAGCTGAAACTTAATTTTGCCTTTAAAAAAAAAAAAAAACTCCAATTAACCAATAGATGGAAAATTTTTCTAAATTTTATAATCACTATTGCTAAAAGGAGTCACTGCCCGTTATAGTCAATTGGACTTGATTGGAAGGAACTAAATCCCAGCTTAGTATAAGACTGTTTCAGCCTAAAATTGCGGTCTTTATATACATTTATAAAATTACAAATCCTCGGGCACAGCCGGTTATTATTATTAGCCCAATTAGACAAGTTGGGCTATTTAAAGCATTGTTTGTAGCGCATTTTGGACTTAGTTGGGTTTTAATGGAAAGCCTAGAAGACTAGTTTTTGGACCTAAAGTTGTTGATTTTCTTATTCTATTAAAAGCCTAAATTCTTACTCGTTGTTGGGCTGACTAAAGTTTTGCCAACAAAAAAACTGGGCAATTTAACTAGCCCATTAGGGTCTTATGTACAGGCCACTCTTGAGGAAGACAAGTTGGGCCCATTTTCCTTTAAAAGCCCAAAATGGAATATACAACATGCTTACGACCTATTACAAATAGGCTGCCATTGGTTACCTATAGGACACAACTTTCACTTTAACAAAATTAGGGAGCAGGTAGGCGGCATATCAACAGTATGTTACTTTCCTTCTATTTTCGTATAGTTTTAAATAGCCAAGTGCTGCATTTTTCTCACAAACTCATATCAGAATGATTCATACTGCACGTTGTGCGGAGTTAACAAACATTAGAGCAAATATCTGAAATAGATGTAGAAGAATCATATATCTGAAAGTTATATCAAACATGTCCTGTTGGGCTAAAATCAAATGATGTTTTGTTTTCTTTTACTTAATATAACCCTATATAAAAGTATCTCCTAAGGATTTGGGTCTGATTGGTGGATTTTTTTTTCTTTTATAATAATTGCATTTTGACTTAAAGTACGGTTTTTTTATTATTATTATTATTATACTTTTATGTTTGACCCACAATAAGATAAAGAACTTTTTCTGACAGATTTTTTTTTTTGCTTTTGTTTTTGACGAGTGTTGTTCCTTTTTGCTGACAAAGTTTCTTTCTTTTATTTATATTTCTAGTTGAAAAAGAGATATTGTGGCGTCAAAGACAGACTTTTTGCTTTGTGAGTTTTTTCTTTCATTATTTTTTTTTTTTCAGCTGCTATTGGATACAAATTTTTTTATTATTATTATTTGATTGAATGTGATTTTTTTTCTTTTTTAGGGATTTTGTTGTGATGATTTTGGTGTTACAAATTTTAATTTTGTTTAATGAAATTTGATTATTGAATGGGATTTCGGTTATGTGATTGAAATATTTGCATGTTGTTATAAATGTATTTTGTTAGAAGGTTTAATTTTCATACATTCTGCTATTAGATGAAAATAAGTTTTTAGTTTATTTTCTTTGATGATGCTCCTTTTATTGTTGTTGTATTTTTTTTTTTTAGATTTAGATTTTGTTTTGCATGTTATTTGAATGAAGTTATAACTTTGTTTTTGATTGATTTTTTATTTTTTTTGTCTAATGATTTGTTGAATTTTTTTTATATTCAATTTTCAGGTTAATATAAAATTATTTTATGTGTTGTTTTGCTTTATTTTTGTGTATTTGGATTTGTTAAGTTGTATGTGGTATTTATTTTTTTGTTAAGTTATACAAAAAATTTCATCTCATGAGAATTGTGGTCATTACAACAAGGTTTTTGTTTTCTCTTTTAAGAGTTTTTGTTGACAAATGCATTTGTTTTAGTGTTGACTTTTTTTTTCTTTCTTAACGTGTGTTTGTTTATAGGTGTATTCCTCATGTTGAAATTAGAGAAAGTTACATGTAATTGTCTTGAAAAGCACATGTAAATGTGAGTTTGATTAATGGATAGGTTGATTGCTTGGTGTCTTTTTTTTTTATTTTTTATGTTAAGTTATGTTTTTTATTTTGGATGCTTTTTGCATGATTTTAAACAAAAAGGAATTGACTGTTAGACTTTGACCATGTTATTATAGCAACTTTACTTATAAAAATTCTTATTATCTATATTAATATTTTTTGGTACTAACAAAGTTGGGTTTAATAAGGATAGTTTACTTGATGAAGTTGTTGATGCTTTATTTGGAAAGAGGTTAGAATTAGCTATTTGCTTACGTATTTGATAACTTTTTGGATGAAAATATGATGCATTTGAATGGTTACATTGTTTGCTATGAAGGTAATAACATTTAAGTTAGTTGAAATTAGTTACTTTGCTATGTGTTTTAAATTTGCAAAATTTTGAGAATAATTAGGTTTCAAAGTTGAATATGACTGAATTTGTGTTTTTCTCTTTTGTTGATGAAAGGGTTTTATGTGAGAGAAGGCCTTGGTATTGATTATCGATACTTTCAATAGCAACTTGCTGCATCAATTTGTGAAGAAGAAGTAAATGCCTGTTATTTTAAATATTTCTATCTTGATCTTAATTTATGCTGATTACAAGAATTGCTGAATTAATTAAGAAAATGGTTATAGGTGTATTTGAAAATGTTTCTAATGATTCATAATATATGGTTGAATACTTGAATTTGTGTGCTTTTAATGATCATATTGTTATTTTGGGTTGTTCTCTAGAGTTGCCACATTGCTCAATCGGTGTTTGAATTGTATCAAGAAGGGGTCTAGTAAAGAAATATCCTTAGTATCTTGTAATATTGGTTAATCTTGAATGCTTAATGTTGATAACCTCAGTAAACGCTCATGCACACATGCACAGAAAACATAAGACTTCAGTAGTCAAGCTAATAATTTCTCTTGGTAGGTTTGTTGGCGTTAATTGTTGGTCCACGAGATAATGAACAAGAAATATTAGAAAAATCAATCACTCCTCTTTCACAAGCTTTTAAATCTGGTTTTGAATCCTCTAAGATAGCTTTGGAATGAAGAAATTGAATAAGGATTAGAAATTGTTCTTCTTCTAATATTTGTTGGCATTAAGGTGCACAACCAATTTTTTTTTTTTTTACATGATCTGGTTTGTCGTTGTAGTATTTGGACTGTTTGACTGTCATCACTTTTGTTAGGGGAATTATCTAGAGGAAATAGAAAAATCGATTCAAATTATGTGACAATTGGTTCATCCTAAACTAGGTTCTAATGTAAATATACATGCCTGATTTTCTCTAATTAAATAGCATTTGATAGATGTATTTGAGGTTCTATATAAGTTATTGCTTGCAAGTTGTTAATTAAAAAACATGATGTATTAATGCATGGTTGTTTTGTTTTATTTGAGGATTAATTAGTTGTGTTCAACTTGTAGGTTATTATTGTCAAACCTTTTGCAGTAGCAATAAGAGCAGTTATCTCTACTTAATCATTTCTTTTGACAACCATGGATGGATGGAGACTTAGTCCCAAGTTTTGGCTAGAGTGAGTGAACTCTCTGGATCATACTTTTTTCTTTTTTTTTATATGATAACTAATTGTCGGGATTTAAATTTTAGGAAAACAGGTCAAAGAGATTTGTATGGTTTGAATTATATTCCTACAATATAGATAATACCTAAGGACAAATTAAAAACACAAAGCTAGACAATTTTAATGGCCAAAGAGATTGTTTGGTCTTTGAAAATTATGCAGGCATATTACATAATTAATTTTTATGCAGAGACCAACATATTATTATAGCAAATCTACCTATAAAAATTAAATATTATAAAAAAATTACAATTCCATACTAAAATAAATAAGTTAGTCAGCAAAACCCTGCATGTACTTATTGCTGACATTAAATTGGATTACTTGTATTTTAAATAAGATGAATATATAAAAGATTAGATCATGATAAAGCCGTACCCAAGCATCTATAGCATTAAGAGATTCTATAGGCCGAAAAATGGTGTGCTCGAAATTCTGGCGTGTTGGGATACTTCTAAGGTATCTGCAAAGAAGACCACCAGTTGAAATAACTAGTAGAATATTAATTTATTGTAATCATGTCACGAATTATGAAGCAGCTCGTACCTCTCAAAGTCGAGAACTCTATGCATTTCATTCGCACTGCGTAAAGCAGCCAGTGCCAACTGTAGCATAGCAACAGACGAGCTAAGACATGAGAATCATATTATAGGAAGATGAACAGATCAAACATCAGACTCATGATCCAAAATGTGACCAATTGCAAATTTGAAGATGCTTAGCAGTTAGCACATGAAAAGGGCAAGAAGTTCGTAAGTATAGCAAGCTCACATTCATAACATAGCACACAAATCGGAGAGAGCTTTGTTACGGGGAAATGTTAACAAATTTATCATTCCATTCTAAAATTTTAACAAATTTAAGCTTTGTTACTGAGTATAGAAAAGCAACATTCAGTCAGTTTTATTATGGTAGACTCGTTAAAAAAAATATATCCACAAAGATAGAAACCAATTTTTTGATGGAAGAATCAACTTAAGCTTCAAGAATAAGGCCTTTTTCCATAAGATATTGGACCATCAGTTGACACACACGATACTTAGAATACATTTTAGGAGGTAAGATATTGCTAGCATTAAGTTGTTTTTGAAAAACTAAAAAACGAAAAAAAGGTATAAAACAAAAAAATGAAAATAAAAAAAAAAAATTATGGAATAAAAAAATGAAGAATCGGATTCAGTTTGATTTTTTTTTAAAGACTTTGATTTCAAGGATTTAAGCAAAGGAAAGACTATTGAGAAAATCAGTGAAGACTGGAAAGTGAATCGGGGATGATTCGGATGCAAAATCTAAAACACAAAGGAAAGAAAATCAAAGAATCAGAATCAGAATCAGAGGTTGTGTGAGCTATTCTCCTATAAATATATGGTTTTGCTGTGTGCGGCAACTCTTATGTTCTGTCTATAATTAAAAGCTAACAGTTACTCTTTAGTTTTTTGGTTCTGCAATATTGTCATGGAGATTATAGAGCTCTACAAGTCCAAGAAGGTCAATTATCAAGAACCAAAATTTTCTCTCTCTTTTTTTTGTTTTTTTTTAATAATTGAATGATTTGCTTTTCTCTATCTTTTATTATTCATGACTTGTGTGCGTCTCTTTGTTTGAAAATCAGGTAAAATTGGGTGATGGGAATACGACCGATGATATAATAAGTGAATTATGTGATGATATTCTTATCATGATATTGGATTTTCTCACACTCAAAGAAGCGGTCAGAACCAGTGTTCTTTCACGCAGATGGCAACAACTTTGGCAATTTTTTTCAGGTAGTTTCAGTTTTGAAGCTAGTTATAGCAGGGGTTTGAACAAGGAGAAGCTGAAAACGGAAAGGAGTAGGTTTGTGGGAAGGATCAACAAAGTTCTAAACTCACATCAAGTTTCAACCATACTTGAGTTGAGAGTTTCTTTCGACTTAGGCAAGCATTCGAAAAGTTATGTGGATGAGTGGATTGGCATCGCATTGAAGAAGAAGGTTAAAAAGCTTGAACTGGCATTCGAACCATATTTCACAAGTTATCATAAGCTTCTTTATACGTGTTACCGCATCTCAAAAGAAAGCTTTTCATGCTTCACAACCTCTTCTGGTTCACCTGGAACTCTGTTCCTTAGGTGTCTTTCTTTACAATATGTTGGGGTAAGTGATGAGAATGTGGAGTATATTCTTTCCAGTTGTCCCATGCTTGAGAGCTTGCATGTGAGAATGTCACCACTGCTTAGAGATCCTAAAGTTACAGGTTCATCATTGCGGTTGAAACACTTGAACATACAAAGCTGTGAGTTTGTCCAAAGTATTGAGGTTTATGCACCAAATCTTGCTTCATTTGAATATTATGGAAAGGAAATACCATTGCATGTAAGGTATGCGCCCAAACTCCATGAAGTATGTTACTTTGATCCACTAAACTACAGCATTCCACATGCCTTTTCCCAGCTAGCAAATTATCTTCCTCAGTTAGTGAGTCTGACGCTAAACACGTCCTTTGATTGGGTAAAAATCGCATGAATCCTTTCCCTTCCATTCCCGACCCTTTTTGTTTTCTTTTACTTGATAATTATTTTTTAAAAAAAAGACTAATAAGTTGTCTGGTCTGCAAATTTTTCGATCACAGCCGAGTCTCTTATTGCAAGCCCACGACTTTCCCAAGTTGACGAGTCTTCGGCACTTGAGCTGTATTGATTTTTTCTTTAGAGGAAAACGCGTCCCATGTATAACACCTGTGATAGAGGCTGCCCCTTCGTTGCACAAATTCAAACTAGAGGTAAGTATTCTTACTCCATTGCATGCGAATGTAGTTTTTTTTTTTTTTTTTTAAATTGAGATTATCGAAATTTAAATCATAACTATTGAAAATTAAAAGTTAAAATACAATATGAATTCTGGTTATTTTGTTAATAATTTCTATTCATTCATTTAGGTTAGTTTATATATACTTTTAACTTATCACGATTCCTTGTTGAAATTTTAACAGTATCATAATTTAAATAAAATTGAGAAATATAAATTGCGAGGGGTGATGAGGAGGGTGAGAGGGCATCCCAATCAGTACCTAAAGGAAGTGGAAGTAATTGGATTCTACGGGAAGGAAGCAGATGCTGAAATTGTTACCTACTTACTTAAAAGTGCATTTATGCTTGAAAAGATTGTAATTGATACTCGTCCTACAAAGATTGGTCATCCCGAGGAGTTCGAGACTGTGCAAAAAATGGCCAAAAATGTGGCCCGTCAGCTCATGCAAAAACAAAATCGAGCGGGAGCTGAATTTGTTATACTCTAATTAATTAGCTTTTGCTACTGCTGTAGTCTAATTATTATATTGAATTTCTCCTACAACATACTATATTTTTGGACTTCTTTTAATAAGTGAGAATGCATTAAAAAAATCACAGTTACTTTGAATGACACTTTTGTTGTAATGGCATGCTTGCTATGTTGTCCTTTTTGTTTTTTGACGGCCCCAATTGTAAACACAGTGGGCATAAAACCCATTAACCATCAGATTTAGTCCCAATTTTATAATCACGGAGTTCTTAAAATCTTTGGTTACAGTCACAAAATTTTACATATAAATTCAACGACTCAACACAAGAAGAAGCAGCCAAAGGGAGACCCATCTGTGAGAGAGCGAGAGAGCCCAGAAAACAAGATTTGTCTGGGTCATTCATTTATCTTGATAGAAATAAAATGACCATAATTTTGCTAGGTATAGGTCCTTTTTTTTTAGTATTCAAGGCTCCTTATTTTGGGAGACGTAAGAAAAATTACCAATTTAACTCTTAGTCCAAGTGTTATATTTGGTTATTTATTAAAATCTTCCTTTGGAGACTATGGATGGATTGTTAGTGTGAAAGATATAATTGGAGGACATGTATGGTTAGGTTCCATTTGTATATTTGGTGGCATCTGGCATATCTTAACCAAACCTTTTGCATGGGCTCGCCACGTACGACGAGTCTGGCATGTTTAATAAAACAGTGCTATTCCATTTGCATCAATGCCAAGTTAAATAATACATAGAATTTGCCTTTTCATAAAAATAATAAAAAATCATACATGCATCATCATCATCATTCGTACAAAAGATACCAAACCTTTTGCATGGGCTCGCCAGGTACGACGAGTCTGGCATGTTTAATAAAACAGTGCTATTCCATTTGCAACAATGCCAAGTTAAATAATACATAGAATTTGCCTTTCATAAAAATAATAAAAAATCATACATGCATCATCATCATCATTCGTACAAAAGATAACAGACCCAAAACCAAAAAAACAGAGAAATGCATATTCAATTGAGAAAAAGCAGATCCAAAACCAAAAAGACAGAGGGCAACGCATATTACATGAAGAAAAAAACATTATATTCCATAAAGAAAATAAGATATATAGAAGTCTCCATATATATTCAAACTACTTAATCAGAGAAAATAAAATATGTTCCAAAGAGAAAAAAAAACGAAAATAAATATATAAAAGCTTCCATTTATAACAAAACCGCTAAATCAGAGAAAATAAAACAGATAGTATGCTAGACCAGAGTAACCTCGTGCAGATCCGCCGTAGTGGAAAGAAGATCAACCAAATCTTCGGATAGTCCAGGAGCGAGACTCGCCTCTGCAACGCCGTTATATTTTGTGACGTAGTCGATGTATGCTTTCATGTCGTCGGAGTTGTATATCAGTATAATCTCCCTTGTTTTGTTCAGGAGGATTGTAGACCTCTTGACAGTATAGGTAGACACGGCGGACTCTTGACTAGCATCGTTCAACGACATTCCAGCAGCCATGAAAGGCTTTAAAGCTAACGATGAGGGGGCCGGGGCTGTGCGTGGACGTGGGCGTGGCCGGCGAGCCATTGTGAAAAAAACGGGGGAAAGAGATAAGCTGTGAAAAAAACCAGAGAAATAGTTAAGACTGAAAAATAAAAATTAAAACAAAGAAACGGTGAATAGTCTACAGAGGAAAAACTTAAAATATATAAGCAGCCATTGGGGGTCGTGCTTTGATTACTGATGACGTGCCGAGTTATTCCTGAGCTATTCAGCGGCTTTCTCTCAAAAAAGCTGTTGGGGGGCCCACTGCAAAATTGGGAATCTTTGCACGTAGAATGTGCGATGACAAGTTGTTCCTCATCCCATTACTTCACAGCAACTCAGCCGGATTGAAATTTTGCATATTATTGTTCCACGGTCACTATTTTTTGAATCCAGAATGCAATTGCATGTCCATAGGAAATTCCAACCTATATATATATATGACAACAACCTAGGTTATTTTTGGTTTTCATGTTTTGTGTATCCTTGATTTTTAATTATTTTAGATTCAAATTGCTATAAATTTGAGTTATTTGGAATTTAAAATATTTTTAAAATATTTTAATTTTAAATTATTTTTTATTCACTTTAGGTTCATTTCAACTTAATTATAGTTTGAATTTTTGTGTTTTTCATTTTAAATGATCTCGAATTTGAATCATCATAAATTTAAATTATTTTAAGTTTCGATTATTTTATGTTAGTGTTGTTTCAATTTAGAATAACTTTCGATTTAAATTACTTTAAATTCAAATTGAATTTGAGTTTTTTATTTTTTTATAAATATAGATTGAACTGAGTTTCATCTAAAATTGATTTTGATCATTTTCAAATTTTTATTAGATTTTATCATATTTAATCAAATATCGATAATAAATAATTTTTCATAAAGAAAAAGCAAATTTGTGACATAAAATTTTGTTTTTCATAATGAAATTTATTCATATTAATAAACCATTAAAGTGACTACCTAATTTTTTTTGCTTACAATGTAACAAAAAAAATTTAAAGATAGATCATTATTAGTTATAAGAAAAATACCATTAAATGAGCTAAATACTAATCATTAAATCAGTCAATGCTTTTCATAAGTGCAACTAAACTTAATAATTTGGCTTTTTAAGTCAAATTTGATAATATTCCAACTTTGTCTCCTTTTGTGTTATAAAGAAAGTCAGAAACTGGGTTTAGTTTAGTCAATATTCAATCATTAATTTCAAAATAATTTTTAAAAAAATTTTAATTTACCATTAAATTCTTATTATGATATTTATATGATTGAAGAGTATATTATACTCGTAAACATTTTCAAATTCACAACTTTTACACGTTAATTCCAAAAACATGTCAATTATTTTAAAAATTAATAATTCGTGATAAAAACTTTTTTGTGCTCCAATTTTTTTAGCTCTCCTCAAAACTTTTATTTTTGAAATGGTACTCCTTCAAAATTTTAATTAATCTCAATCTATATATATCTTTAATTTTTTGTCACATTATTAAATAAAAAATAATTTATATAACAAAATGAAATATTTAAATATATTTGACGTATAAGATTATGAATCGCATAAAATAAAATAATATTATAAATAAAATTAGATTAAATAATAAAATTTTATTTATATTTGATATGTGTAAGATTAAAAATAAATAATTTTTTTAATGGTCAAAACTATTCTTACTTAGAGTTTATACTATTTAAACTGTTAATATATTTTTTAAAAATATAACAAGACATGTAAATTAATCTTAAATTGTTAAACTTTTTTTTTTTTTCGAGGAGAGAAAGGGGTTCGGGGTTTCGAGGAGGAAGTTGGTGTTGAAGAGAGAGAGGAACTGAGAAGCTTAAGGAAACGAAGCACGCCATTGAAGCTTCAGTTGAAGAATAATTAGGGAGGTTCTTGGTTTAAAAACACTGGAAGCGAAAAACAAATGATGTTCACAAGGAAGAAATTTTGAAACGACACCGTGCTGTATATTCACCAATTATTGTTTTTTGCTTCAAACATTTTTATTTGGATAGGCCACTGGAATTTTGGATTAGCGCCTCCTATTTTAACTTCGCGTTTTGGTTTAGATGTTCCTTACATCTTGAATTAAGAAATGAAACAAAAAAACAAGAAAAAGATCGCGACGTCAAAATTTTACCACGGTTTTCTGATTTATCCTGAAAAGTTACAGCATGAATGTCACAAACTGGCAATGTAAAAATTATCTTTTCTTCAATGTAATAAAGATTAACAAAGCATCTCGATGTGTGTGGAGATTCTATGATGTCAAAATTTTTTCTTCAAGCCAGAATCCACTTTTAAGTGGCAAAAAACCTTGTTCCATCACAGGAAATCGGGGCCCAATGGTGTCACCAACCTCAGATAAAAGGTTTAGCTCTTTTCAAGAGTGTGGCTACCATAGAGAATGAAGTGATCTCTGCTACCGGGAATCAAAGAGAAGCGGTTCTTGCAATAGCCCTCGTTCACGATGTGATAATGTTACTGCCTACCCTCGTACGAGAATGTGGTATCAGGATAATCTGGACACAAGAGAAATCAAACTAATGACTTGATCAAACAAGGTAAATTCAATGTGCACGTGTAAACATAAGGTTTAAGCAATTGGTGGTCTATCCTGAATTTCATTTGAACTCTTATGGGATTTGTGCCTTTTCTTCTCCTGATTCTTGCTGCTGTTACAAAACCAATGACCAGCGTGAATCTACATAGAACGCGGGGTATAAAAATAAGTAATCTTGATCATGTATCGGCACAAAACAAATTGTGAGGAACATACTTATCATGTTTCCGGTTGATGTGCTTCATGTCCTTCTCTGTAGGGAACTTATATTTCCTAACATATAGATGTTGCCAGGAAAGTTAATCAGCAAAACTCTCTATGTACTTATTTCTAACACTAAATTTTAACAGTATCATAATTTAAATAAGATTAAGAAATATAAATTGCAGAGGCTGACGAGGAGGGTGGGAGGGCATCCCAATCAGTACCTGAAGGAGGTAGTTGGATTCCATGGGAAGGAAGCAGATACCAAAATTGTAAGCACAATGGGCACATGACCCATTAGCCATTTGATTTAGTTGGGCCAAATAAAGGCCATTAGCCAGTCAGATGATTGCTTTGGGCCTAATTTTAATATACTTTTTCCTTTCTTTAGGCCTAATTTAATGTACTTTTGTCATTTAGAAACCCTATTTGTAATCTCAATGGGCTCATGGCCTAGTTTTATTAGCTAGCCTTAACCATGGGTCATATGCAAGTAGTGTGTTGGACTTAATTTTCTAGGGTTAGAGGCCAGTTAACAGCTCAAAACCCATCCAAAACCAGGGGCCATTTTTAATAATTCATTGGACTTAGTTGGGCTATCCTAACTAGAAGACCATTTCGGGCGTACAAACTTTATTTCAATTACCATAGTCCATTGCATTTCTTTGCTGTTAAGCACTTTTTAA